ACTTTATTTACAGCACAAATGCCAAGTTTGCATGACAACTCAAACAGTGACTAAATCCTAAAGGGAACTTGCAAGAAGGGACTTAGGGCGTTTCTTAAAAGGCACATATTGCATGCTGGCCAGTCATTTGAACATGGTTGCAGCAGTAAGTGATCTCAGCAGCTCTGCTATGCTAACACCCAGGCCAGTAAGTTGCAGTGACTGATATAACTTTGCCAGCAGTGTTTGAGATTCTTCTGGCTGGGAAAAAGTTGGAGGATGTGTCATGGCTAAAGCTCACGTAAGAGGAGTTCACATTCACACACAAACACATACACACACCTCTATCCAAATTAATAGGCTGGTTTAGGTTTAATGGTGCTTGTTAAGTGCTGTATATTACAAGAACCGTGAAAATGTTCTTATAAACCCCTGGGTGAGTGGTTAAAGACAAACTACTGTGAGCAGCAGAAACTTGACAAAAAACTAAAAAGTGGTTACGGTTCATTTGGACAATTCCACCTCAAGTCCAATTTTTTTTCTAGCTGTGCTTTGAGAAGAAACCACATTAAGGATACAAACATATTTTTTCTGCTGCTCTGATGGAGCATAAAAGATAACTGTTTGAGAAGCAATAGGCTTACTGCAGTTTACTAATACCATAACCCCCTTGCAGAGCTTGGCAAAAACCTTAATGAACTGGCATTCACCGTCTGTCTAGAAATGAATGAAAATAATTCTAGTGTTTCCAGAACAATCTTTGCAGATGTGAGTTTACGGTTTCAGCAGGTGTTGCCTAATGTCGTGATTTTTGGACAACTGCTGTGTAATTGCGCCAGTCATTACTTTGCCTGAGACTTAAAGCTGCTGTAGTCACCACATAAAGATTAAAGCCAATAAACACCAGGCTTGTCAAGCTCAAGTTTCTGCTACTCGTTTAGCATTATAAATTTATATTACCTTGCACTGCCAGGCTAGCTAAACGAATAGCTTGTTCTATTGAGCATGAGATCTTGCCCTCCAGAACATCCTTCTTCAGCTGTAGGTAATACTGATATCTGTAGGGAGAGACAGAGAGAGTTACTTCAGAGTGGAGAACGGACCAAAACAGCAGCAAAAACAGCTGAAAAGTTATTACAAAAGGAAAACCTCTCAAATACAAAGATATTACAATAACTTGTGAGATATTTTAACAAACTTAATACCCCTTTGCTTGGATTTTAAGTATTAAAGGGATGGATGAGGAAAGGTAAAACTGGCAGCTGGTTCAGGGGGTATAACTGTGCACCTAAACTGCTTCCTCAACTTCTTGCCCAGACCCTAGCCTGGCCAAAGCTTATTTACAGACCCCCGCACTCGGCCCCACCCCTCAAAAAAATACCTGTTGTGGTTGCGCTAAACTTGCTTGGGAACTCATTTCATAACTCAGATTTATAACGTTTTGACTGCTATTCTTGAAAATAAGTTGACCCCAAGCTAATAAGGTTGGTGGTTTAGACATCGTGTGGTGTCACTGATGGAACATCACCTTGTGATCTCCTGTTGCAGTTGGGTGACACTGGGTATGTAAAACACGACTCCAAAGTAAACGGTGGGCTCCAGCCCGTACTTGTCCAGCTGCTTTTTAAGCGGCTTTTCCAAGTCAATCCATCTCTGCTGGTTCTGCTTGTTGAAGTACCACAAGCTGAAGTATGTTATCTACCAAGCAAAGAGAGCAAACACAACTTTACACCTGAACAACGCTGACAACCTACGTACAACATACTTACCAAAACTTAGATTACATGTTAAACATTAGAACAATATTATGTGACTGCTTGGGATCAATATCACACATTTCTCCTGTAACGTGTTCACCAATCTAACTGCACATTGTCTTCTGATCATCTACATAATATTCAAAACTTGAAAATTCAACCACTGCAAATTTCTCTAGATTTATAGGTTGTTGGCACTCCTTGTTCAGTCTTGTGACTGTCTGAACATCTCACAATGAACACTGGTAAGAAAAGTAACGCCTGTAGGCTTGCTGTTTATGAAGGACAATTGAGCTGAAAGAGACCTATTGTGATTTGCAGCCACGCTCAAACCACAACCTGAAAGTAACTGGCCAACACAACTGTTTCACATCAGATCAGTTAGCAACTATGAGTAAACTTTTTGTAAATGTTATCTAATTAAAAATAGTAACAACAAATAAGACATAGTTTAGGGCATTTTATCTATTTTAATCTAAGAATCTACAGTCCAACGTGGACCAAACTGTGGTCCTCATTACATTTTACCAACATAAGGCTGAAGATGAATTAATACAGATTTTCAGATACAGGACCAACGTTTTTACCCCAGTAGCACAAATCACGTAATTAGCAGTAGAAGCAAGTGTGACAGTGAACTTTGATGGTCTGGTAACTGGAAACAAATGTCAGTACTAGTGTTATTTCCTACATCAAATACAGTGACAAAACCTACGTAACCTTTCAATCAAAGACTGACCACACGATTGCAACAACCCTGGTGACATCAAAAACAAACATTACTCACTGCATACTAGGAAAAACTCCAAAAGAGGGTGGAGGCCCGTCGCTTGACCAATGACAATTTAAGCCCTGCCACATTATGCAGCAATATAACAGACACTGTCACACAGGGCAAGTTCCTATGCCAGATTGCCTGCACATTCAGCAGTCTCTACTGTTGATCTGAGGTGCAGCAGGTTATGACAGCATTCAGGCTGACTCTTTTGGCTCATGAATAACAGGTGGTGTCACAGTGTGACCATGGTCCCCAAATGCTCAATACATTGTTCTGTCCTGACTCATAACTACTTTTCTTGACCATACTGTGCATGCTACGTGAGAGCTGGTACCTCTGTTTGAATGAAAACAAAAAAAACATACACAATATGTCTGCTAATGTGTGTGATGAGAATTACACACATGTAATTACATATAAATGTAGAGTATGTAAATTCTTAAGTCGCGTCATAAACTGTATTATTTGAGTAAACAATGACAAACTAGTTATCTCAGTTTCTGTTAAACTTGACAAAAACACTTTCTTGCTGAGGTGGTGAGTCTCTAAAAAAAATGTATATAAGAGAGAACAATCAGCACTTGTGTTGCGTGAAAACACATACATACCTCTCTTAACTCAAGTCTCTGAGCAACTGCCTCCAAACATTCCTGCCCAGTGCTCTCCACTGAAAGTGTAAACTCAACAAACTCTCCATTGAGCAGCTGAATCCGACTGACAAGACAGCTCTTGCTTGAAACAGTATACCTTCGAGTCCTTTTGAGTTTAAAGCCAAATGGCAAGGGCATGTTTTGCGCTTCTTCAAGAGGGAGTTCTTCACTTTTAAATTATTCTCCTCGCTATCCCCTCGAAAACTGTGTGAATGTTCCAAGTCCTGAGGTTCATCATCAACAGACAGATCTGAAAAAAGAGAGACAATAAACATCATAAAATCATCACCAACATGCTACAATACACAACAAAAGCCAGAAGTGCAGCCTTAGAAAAAAATGGGATGCAAAACAGGGTGAATCACTGAGGAATATGTTACAGTACTTAAGCATATCGCACCTCACACCTGGTCTGTCACCCTGAAACAAGATGCCAGACGAGACAAACACAAGAAAGTAATCCTCTTAAACGCGGCATTTTATTTTAAGTTACTTAACTTGATTATCTCGGATTGGCTACCGAAAGGGATTCGTTTAGCGCTACCCTTTTAAATGTTCTTTAAATGTTCTTAAACTCAGTTAATGTTTTATTTGATACTCTGAAAAAAAACAAAAACAATAAGAAGCAAGTCTATTTTCACATGGCAATTTGTAGAAGGCTATCTTACTTTTGTAATAAATGTTAACTTTAAGGTTTGCTGGCCATCCCCCGCCCCCCTCAAGCTTGTGGTTAAATTAATCCCTTTCCGGTGAATAGCCTGATCCAAACACTGACCAGAGCGACCTGATTCAGTGCGCAGCAAAACTGCCCCCTACGTCAACCATGCATCCATTTTATTTCAAATTATCTACATTATTTACAACTTAACTCACTCAACTACCAGGTTTAAATACGTCTATCCCAACTGTTGGTCGTTTCCCGGACTAACTAGCCACTTTCCATTAGTAGTTTCCATATCTCTTTAACTTAAAGTTCGTTGCCTGACTACAACTAACGTTAAATTAGCTTTACCGCTAGCGTGCTAACTTATGTTCCAGCAAATAGACGACACCCTGGGGGAAGCTGACGTCGCCGGTAAATATTTTGGGCAGAAAACACGTTAACGTTACCGTTAGCCACAAGATGCACTTTAGTGATCCAACGAGGATTAGGTCCGGAGGGATTCCGCCATTAAAGTCAACGGACTACCACTTTGTAGTTTCTTATCGGAATGAGACAGAGTTGATGTGTCTGTAGTTTGTTTATGGGTCTAAACTAACATTGCAGCCCATGCCTCTTCTCTTCTCTTGGTCCGACGGTTCACCCAAGTTCCAAGCGTGTTTCGCTTCCTGGGACTGGAAGAGCAACAAGCGTATACATCCGCGGCTCTATAGCTCTAATAAACTGCGCTTCGGCAATCGATAAATCGTCGAATTACATCGAATTACACTCCGACTTTTCAATAACGTTTAACTAGACACATGAGGGTTTGTCGTACCTTCTTGAGCAGACGCTTCAAAGTGCTGTAGTGCGTCTGTGGCGGAGGAATACATGTTTTCGGAGCTATGACATCAGACAGCTGGAATGCCGAGTGGTGAAAATGCCAGAAATGGGACAGCTGGCTGGAAGTGCGGGCCGCTGACCTGTCTGTTTACCCTTTATATCGGTGGACAGCTGTAATCGCTAACTCACAATATTCTGCAATGATTTAGAGAGTTTCCATCTTTAATTGTTTGCAAAAATGGCTCAAGTCACGAACTTCATGTGGTAATAATTGGCCGCACTGGTTTTGCTGCTGGTTGCAGGTTGAGTAATTACCAGTTTATGTAGCTAGTCTAAATAATCAGATGCACACATGCAAGAAGCAGAATATAAAATTTATTGCAATTGTAAAAGACACTTTCTGGTGACAGTCAACTCCTAGTAGCTACATGTCAGAGGCATATGTCAGGTCAAACACATTTCTTTATAACAGAATTGTTTTTTCTAGAAATCGGAAAATGTAAACTGCAACTACATCATACTGAAGACTGACTGGGCACACTCTGGGCACACTGCAATCCACTAAAACTAAAGGACACCACACTAATTCCACACATCTGACATTAGTGCAGTGCTACGGACTATCATTTGCAAATTTGCAAACCATACTGGTTGCCAGGGCGCAATCATTTAGAAAGTGTAGTTTATTACTCTGGAGGTCATTTGGATCTCAACAACTATGTCTGAAGGATGTGCCCAATTTACAATATCCCAAATGAAACATTCAAGTCTGCAAAACCTTGTTTGCGTATGTAAAATTTTCATTATGCTTTTGTAAAAAGATAAAAAAGCAAAATAGAACTACAACACCACATTGGTAGAGGTTTAAAAACATTGAACCAGTGTTAATCACATTTACAAAACTATACTTTTAGAAAGCTCATATTAAATTTCTCTCTGGAAAAACACTCTTGGTAAGAAAAACACATTCAAGGAAACTTAGTCCCTGAAAACAGTAAAACTCAGAACTCATCATCACTGACATTAGCAACAGTATTTGTTTGTTGCTCAGTGGTCTCTGCATTGTCGCTGTGTGTATTGCTGGACACATGAAGCGACTCTGACAAACTTTTCTCCAGATCCTCAAGCTCTTTAGACTGTCCATCAGAACTGCCCTCAGCTTGGTCTTGATGAAACCCTGTGTCACTGGTTATAGATTCATGGTTTTCATTGCCGACTTCATTTGTCACAGTTGTGCCTATTTCATTTTGACGGAAGTCCTCTTCACTGATTCCTGCATTATTATTGGAAATATGCTCACTGAGCTGAGGAGAGCTAATACTCTTTTCTAGATTGTCATCTTCTCCCTCCATTTCATTTGTTTTAGTTGGTGAATCAGTCCTTTCAGGAGAGCATATGGGTGTAGACACTAATAGGGGATCAGCATAATCTGGTGAATCGCAGTATTTAATTAGAGATGCATAAGGGAACTGGTCATTGCTTTCTTTGGTCTTCACTTGTTTCCCTCCTGAATCCAGATCGGGTAGGAATGCATCAAGCTGACCATTTTCCTTTTTTTCGAGCTCTGTACTGCAGGTGGATATGTTGCTCGGCTCTTCAAAATCTTTACGCAGAACTTCCAGAAGGTGGCGCATTTTTCCCTGAAAACAAATCAGATGCATGAGAGGAAGCTAAACAGCCCTTTGTGGCAACCTTTCATTTCTTATTTATTTAAAGCTGTAACCTGAACACTTAAACAAGACCTGCTTAACATATTTGGTATTCTCCATAAAGTTATGGACTCACCTCATCAAGCTGATGCCGATTCATTTCAATATGGCGCTTTATGACCCGGTCCAGGACCCTTGTAGAGGACATGGAAACTTACACTACAGCAATAACTCATCGCAAGTAGTTAATAGAAAACAGTCAAAGAAGAAACAACAAACCTATCAGAGATATGCCCTCTGGACAATATATCCTCTGTTACAGCAGAAATGAATTCGAGGTACATTAATTCTTCCTCCCTGTGGAAGAAAAGATGGACATTTTTCTCTTCACATACATTTTAGATGCTTCTGAAGATTCCCCTAAAGCATCACACTGTCAAATCCTTACATATGGCAACAATTCCCCACTATATCAATTAAAATATGTACAAGCTTTAGACATTATCAAAGAGAACTCACTCTGCAGATACATTCTTCATAAAGGGAGTTTTCCTGCCTTCTGGTGAGACCCTAAAATGAGACTTAAATTCATTTAGAACTTTACCCAGAAAATACATAGGGTAATCTATTATGCTGAAAATGCAACAGTGTTTCCATTTCATGATTTCACCTGAATGAGGAGTCAAAAAAGTCACGGTTTCTGCTCTTGTTTGCTCGACTGTGTTGTCTTGATGCAGAGAAATATGTGCCATTAAACTCCTCCTCAGACCACTCATGCTCTGTATTAAATCCCTGTGAAACAAAAAGGACTGTAAAATGAGAAGGAATATTCAACATAGTCAAGGCTAACTCTAACCACAAATGTTTAATGAGGCTGTAAACGCTATATTTTTTTTTTTTTACCGGGACAATAAACCACACAACGAGTACTGACCTTGAGCAACAAATAATTATACTGGGCTATTTTTCATAGCGTTTATTTTGATGCTGTACAACAAAATGTCATCCGGTTCAGTTAGTGTGGGTATTATATCATCACAAAGAATAAACTCTAATTGCTACAAAATGGTTACATTACAAATATGTGTGGCTTCTGATCATAATAATTAGGCTACTTTAAGACATCACTTTGATAATGTGATGGACATTTGTTATCATCTTGTCAAAAAGGGAAAGCAGTGTTGGACGCATTAGAAAATTATCAAAATAATCAAATTAAATCCTCAAAATTACCTGAGATGGCTCATACAATTCCTGTGTGTATCCTTTGGTTTTTGTGCTGCATAAAAAAATAGAATCAAGTTATTTTTAACACATTAGAACAAGTTGCACATGTTTTAAAGACACAAATCTACTGCTTTCCTTTGAGTCTCACGCAAATGTTTGGTAAGTACCTTCCATGATATGTCTCCTGTCGCATCAATCGTGACTGAGTGCAATCCTGAGTAGTTTTCCTCCGTGGTGCTCGGTAGTAGCGATAATTTGACAGGTATGAACTCTTATCTGATTTCAGGGTCTTAGGGGTGAAAGGTTTGTCTTGGGTAAAGTGCTGCGAATGTTTCTGGATCAAGTCTCCGCTGTATGTCTTCTGAACAGGGTCCTGAAAAGTCTTGTAGCAACTTTGATCTCCAGAAGCTACCACTGAAAAGGCTGAATGCTTTCTGCGTGAAGTTGCCTCTGGGCTCCGGTAATTTATTTCTGATGCAGGGCGAGTGTGATGAAGCTGGTTCTGTGAACTGACTGTACATGAAGGATAAACTATCTCCTTTACGTGAAAGGAGGAGCTGAACCCTGGGCTGGAGACAGTGGAACTTCTTGAGCAGTGGTAGAGGCTGTCGCCATACTGCATGGATAATCTACTCTAAAAAGCAAACACGTTGTATTGAATCAGACATTGTACATGCTGAAAAGGTTTGAATGACGAATTATGCATTTAAAGTCTTTGAATGCTTGTGATCTCAAGGTTTTTAAGCCAGACAATGCCATGGCTACTGCAAAAGATACGTTGGCAGCGCACAGAGCAATGAGAAACTGCCTTGATTCCTTACCTGGGCGGAAGAGCAGGAGGCTCTGCTGTTCCTCTGTGACAGAGAGTGGGCTGACTGAGGACGAACCCCTTTCCTCAACCGCTCCTGTCTGATCTGGTCATTGTCTGTAAACAGGCAACAGAAAACAAGTATAGACACAGGAAATAGTCTACTTTGAACTCTGTAACTGTCACAGCCAGCAAAGCAGTTTCACACACACAAGGAAACAGGGTTTTAAGAAAAAGGCTACCTTTGGATAATGTAACACAATTATATACACTGATTCTCAATACGTTTAATTGTGTGCCTGCTGTGTGATTTACTAAATGTAAGATAAAGAGAACAGGGAAAGACTCACACTGCACTTAATAGTGAGGGTCAAGAGCAAGCAATTGTGATAGTACAGTGATATGAAGAGCGCAAACATGTGGGTGAACTGCATGCATTGTATTATTGCTTATTGTCATATTGACAATAAAATATGAGGACAGATCTTCATTTTAACAGTTAAAAAATGTTTTGAATTGAAGAAATAATTTAATATTTAATAGTTGAGTACTTACACTTTACACTGTGTATCAAGCTTTTGGGTACTGAGGCATCAATGGCAGCTGTGGAACAAGGAAAAATGTAAGATCACAACACATTATTAATCTAATTAGAACAGAGATACATGTTTTAACCACTTCAACATATAAGCATATTGTGTATGCTCGTAGCTGAACTAGTTTGGTCTACTGAATGCCAGTGTTATGTATTCCTGCCAGCTCACCTTTAGCTGAGTAAACCTTTTTGTAATGAGACACCATGTGGTCTTTAACGATGGACTGTGTCAACTTGCTGGAGGAGGGAGGGCAGAAAGCTAAAAACACAAGACAGAGAACAACATGTAGTACACTGTAAAATCATGTATCTTACAAATGACCCATACTAATCTGACTCATTTCTCATTATAATATTAATACTTACGGCTACTTTTCGATGTGTGTCCTCTCATACCAGGGCTCGTCCCCAGTCCAGACGATACACTCCCTAAAACAAATTAGAGTTTTAATTAATACTTTAAAATTCAAGTCATTTAAGAACTTTATCAAGTAAGCATTTGGCATTTACTACATCTTACTTTTTATAGCTTTGTAAACTGAATACCTTTGAGGGTGTGATTTTAAGACTTTCACTTTAGGCTTTAATAACTAAAATGTATGAATATTTAAAATGTATTGACTAAACAATTAAAAATGTTTTCAGCAAGTATTTAAGCATTGTTTAATTAATAATACGAGTACTCCATATTCCATATTTGGAGTACCAAGTAATTTGTTCTTATCCTTTAACACTAAACAAGGTGATATTATTGCATTCACAACTCTTTCAGGATTCAGCAGCGTTGAAATCTCCCTTACTACCTTCACATTCTGGGTGGTTAAGAGATATAATGTCATATTTAACTTTAAATATACATTGAGAGGATCCAAAGAACGGTTTTAAAGTAAAGACTAGACTTAATCTTATCCAAATTGATTGTGATTGACTGTCATTGCTCAACTATACATTTTCTGTTTTGGCTTGCTTGCCTACTTTTTTCATGTATTTTGTAGATTTTGTTCTGTTCTTTGTTTGTTTCGTTTTTGTTTGTTTTTATTTCGCTAAATATGAAAAAAGAAGATATTTCTTATTCGTGGATACTGTGTTTGTACTTGCATCTCCAATAAATGAAAGTATATTCATTATTTTTCAAGTAAATTCAGAACATAACGTATATTTATTAAACAATACTATTGTGTAGCAATAAAAAAACTTTGTATTTAAACAGAAAAAAATATAATATAATATATAATAGTTTGATTTAACGTTGAACTTATTCATATGTTTTTATATCGGTTGTTAAAAGCTAAATACAGTAACGTTACTGTAAAAACTAACACTCTAGTACTCTAGTTATCTTCGACAGTGCAAACAAATAAAACTACTTACAAAACTGCAACTTAATGGAGCAGAACCTGGACAAACCTGTAAACAGCGTTAACTGAGGCGCTGTGTTGAATGCTAACGTTACAGCCTTGGTCACAGATCGTTTTTAAGTTTAAGTCTTGAGAACAAGCAGTGTGAGTGAAGGACTGACTATTGTCTAGACAAACCTAAAGCCATATTAGTGAGTGCATACCCTGTCAGCATTACTTTATCTGTGAGTTGCTGCCTAAGCACAAGTTGAATTTGCTCCCTTCTGCCGATTAACCAGCTAGCCTAACAGCTAACTAATGCTAACAGTTTGCATACCTGTTCTCGACTCCATGATAAAGTTGCACTCAGCGTATCCCATTTTCCTCAGAGATATTCTGAGGCAGCGGCGGCAGACCTCGGATACATCCAGAAACTACCGTGTACTTAACTGTAAACATTTTAGCGCTGTACGATAAATAAAAACGTAAAGGTGATAACCTAATACTACCGTTAGCTCATAAGCAGCTGAGAGGAGCAAAGCTTTTCCGTCGCCATGCTGGTTGCTATGATTGCCTTCGTCATCACGCTCATGCGTAAGAAAGGACACGCCCCCCCCACACCCCCACCCCCATACGCATAGATAGACACACTTGTCACTTCACTGGGGAAAATGAACAGAATTAACAACACAGCAAAAGTATTTAACTCAGAATTTAATAAAATCCAATTACTTAATAATGATCTTCATTTTGTTTAATATAATAAAAGTTAGACTTTATTTCAATCCTAAATCCAGGCTAGATATCTACTGAGGATGGCGTCATTAGTTTATAGAATACAACACATAGCCTATGCTAAAGACAGCAGAGTGAAAAGTAGATAACATTAATAACATGCCACATGAATATTTGTGTTTCAACCTTGTAGGATTTCTGGGTGTGGACATGATATTTCTGGAGCCACAGTTTGTACATAGGACAGTGTGAAGCAAGTGCAGCCAGTGTGAAGCCTATAAACGTCAGGAAATAAGCCTATATTGTCCTCACTAGTCATAAAACACAATGCCATGTGTACTGGAGCCCCTGTTCCCACCAATAAGACCAGGGTTACTGAGAAATGGCCTTGTGCTTGCACTGATATGCAATTTCATATAACTGTCTTCCCAATAATGCAGTTATTTAAATTTATCTCTGGAAGACAGCAGTCAGAAATTCATTCCTTTGAAAACAGCTCTCAAGGGCCCTGAAACAGTAAAACTGGTCAATAACACTTGACACGTTCCAGGGACCCAGTCTAACAATGCACCGCATGAATCAGAGTCTCCTCCATCGAGATGAGAGAACACAGTAGAAAAAAGAAATAAATGACTTAATGCATAAAACATTGTGTGTCTTTATTTTGTCATTAGAAAATGGGACTTTTTGGAAATTGTAAGTGAAGATGTTACATGTCTGCTTCAATAAGTGGTGGAACAGATATGCATTACTGGTGTTGTACACAGCTATTTTTATATAGTCACGTAGGAAAGGCACATGGACAGACAATAGCTGTATTTGTGCGTTTCAGGTTCCTACCTACCAGAGGCACCACGTTTATGAATAATCATGAGGTGACGGCTGGCCTTTCTTGTTTATTACCAGTGTGCTGTTTTCACGGCAGTTGGTGGTATACATACACCATCTGGCCTGCTGAAAACAAAAAACACCATGGTTGCCTCATTTACAGTAATATGGCAGTGTGAAAAAATGGACCAATGTGGGAAAACACAGAATGCAACAAATATAAATTCTGATTCAACTGAGTACACGTCAGAGAACATTCTGTCAACAGCATATTGTTTATTCTGTTTATTGTGTTCCTTCTATTGTTTTATAGACCTTTTAACCCCTCACGTCATTTACTAACAAATGATTGTGAGTTACTTAATAGTAGTGGGACAGGCAACATAACTTTTTGAACAGCGTAGTTAGCCTTAACCACAAGCCAATTCATGCTTCATTTAGTGTTTTTCAGTTTTAAATTGTTTGATTTTATTACCAATTTAAATTTCAGATGGAGGTAAGATGGTTTATGAATAATGCTGCACTCTCAAACTGAATGACAGTAGACAATAACTATATTAACAATATTAACTATATTCCTCATGCTTTCTTAAAGATCTGTAAACACCAGTGGGCATTTACTGGAGGGGCTATATTTCCAATTACGATGAGCTGAAAATTTTTTTTTTGGCTTAGACAATATGTCAAATGGATATGGACATCAACATGTGGTCATGAATAAATGTTACTACCCTAAGTTTTGATTTGGTTTCTTTATTGTTCCAAAATGAATCTGATTCAACAAACTTTTTCTCAGCCTTTAATAGCAGGAAAAGCACAGGTGGAACTACTAACATTAACGATGGCTCCATTGTAGCCATTCTTGCAATGCAATCCAGTAGTTCATGTTATTAGTTTCACCTGCGTTTGAAGTCAACAGTTTTACTCCACCTTTTTCTATAGATACATGTGTCCTCCCGAGTTTAATGCTAACCCTTTTTCAAAAAAAATAAAAATGTTTGTTTAAGAAGTGGTTTTACTTCCTAAGCAGCCAAGGCTTTCTTACTTTTTTCATGACTGATTCAGTCACAATCATCCGTCAAATCCCTTCTCAAAACTCACTTTAATATTTTTGTACTTTTACTCTGCCTTTATCTTACATTTAGTTTTTCTTTCTTTTCTTTTTTACGACTGATTTTATTGATTATACATTTGTTAGACATTCACACTTTGACAGTCTCTGCCTCAATGGCTGCTGGCTTCTACTTACTATTTGCCACTACTGCACTTGGCTGTACTATATATGCTTTCATATAACCATGCATATTTATTCAATTAACCATATATCTGACATATAGGGTATTTATATTTATATTACTGCCTACACTGCATAAATCTGATTCATAGTGTACCAGTTCCCCCTGTTTAGCAGGAGCATGAGCCTCTCCACACCTCTGTGACAGCACTCTGCCTCCCAGAGAGTGAAGTCAACAGGATCTTTAAGAGGCAGGACACCAGACCAGACTCTGTCTCTCCATCCA